GCCACCATCTAGTGTGGGTTTAACAACACTTAATTTATGACAAATAATCTAGTACGAATTGCGATGAGGTCTCAACACATTAAATACTATTCACAGTGTTTCGAAAAGGAAAACAGTGCGTAAACTAGATTTGAGAGTGAGGAGCGATACCTTCGGAAACTGCCTAAGACTTAGTTTTACTACATGAATAATATCAGTTCATGAAAAAGTTCATTATAATATTTTTTTTACAATGAATATGTTCACAATTTGATAAACTTTTTCTTCTCGTGAAAATGTGGACTCAATTTTAAAATCATTCGGGAGGTTGTTCGTATGTTCAACTCAAAAATAAAAAAAACGGTAATAAGTTGCTGCAGATGTTTTCAAAAAAATTTTTTTTTTGTTTGCATATATTTTTGAAAATCGGTTTCCAAAGAAATATTTTGGAAATCATACTAAATTATACATTACATATATTGTGGTTTCATAATTTTATAAAATTAATCGCACATATAGAGTAATGTAATCAGAAAAACATAATACTTATATACATTTGTTAACGCAACGATAATCAAAAAAAAATATTACTTTTCAAAAAAAAAATTTTGAAAAAAATGCTTATTAGTTTCACTCTGTCGTTCCGTGAACATGTTTACAAAACTTTTACACCCTTCAAGATACACCCAGAAATTTTATATGTACATAGATCTTTGCTAGAAACTGATTTCAGTAGAAGAAAATTTTTACCTGACATTTCACAAACTTGATTAAACCGACACATAACCAAAGAAAACTCAAATATAAATTTCATGAAAATTTAGATAAACATTTAGCTGAAATTTAGATAAGCATCTGCAAAAACAAACTGACAGACAAACTAACAGACATCTCGCTAAAGATAGTTTATTTACACTTTCCTATCACATAGAAGTGCATTTCCGCCGAAAAGTCGATATGCAAAATTTAGTGCTATCACATAACATTCATTTTTATACCCGTACGAACGTATGTTCGAAGGGTATACTAAATTTGCCTTACCGTTTGTAACGCTAAGAAATAACGGTCTTAGATATAGACTCAAGTGTATGTTTTTGATCAGCGTCGAATTCTGAGTTGATTTAGCTTTGTCTGTCCGTTCGTCCGTCCGTCCGTCCGTTCCAACGATAACTCAAAAACTAATTGAGCTAAGTTCACCAAATTTTCACAAATGATTTATTGAACTAAGTGCCAGAACCCTATCTAAATTGGACAAGATCGGGGTACAGGTTCGGGTAGCTGCCATACAACTTCAAAAGTTATTTGGCTATATCTCAGGAACTACAAAAACTGTAATATAGATATTGCACACAAGCGAATATATTAATAGCGCCGATGTACTTGATAAAATTCGTTAAAATTTCTTGGCTCTTTCCGATAGCTGCCATACAACTTCAATAGTAGTTTGGCACAACCAGTATTTTGAAAAACACATAGTACTGAAATTTTGCATAAATTAATATGGTAATACGGCAACTTAAAGTCATAGTCTGCCCATAGTTAGTTATGGCATCTTTATTCGCACATAGGATAACAAATTCGTACGGGTATCACAGAGTTGACAAGGTCAACTCTATTTTTTTTCTCGTTGTATGTAATTTTGAATAAGAACGTATTATCACTATTATAATATATGGTTGTACTAGACCATAAACTCCTATAATATACAAGAAATGTTAATTTGTATATGTTCTCCTATAATTTTGCATTTGTGTCTTTAGAATAAGGTTTTACTGACTTATGTTCAAAGTCAGGTTTTATGTTAAAGGTTTTACTGACTTTTAGTCCATATATAAATTCCGTACGGGAAGGTTGTGTCGCTGAGTGGTAAAATAATTTATTTGCTGCTTAAAATTTAATTTTAATTTAAATTTAGTTAATAATTATATTAAATTTTTGTGCTATTAAATAAAATGAAGATTTATAGTTTATATAAATAAATGTTTTCTTTTGTTCGTAATATTTGGTATGAAACAAAGGTGGATTTTGAAAAAATAGTACTAAAGTTTATTTAGAAAGAAAAAATGGCTAGTACTCGTATTAGCAAGATTTATAGATTAGTAAGATTTGATTTTTTTTTTAAAGTTTTTATTGTAATCATATTTAAATAAAATATTTGATTACCTACATATAAATACAAATGCCCCGAAAGTGTTGCGTCGAAGGATGCAGAAGCAATAGTCTACGAGAAAGGAAAAACGTAAATGCTATACCTACATATACTTTGCCAAAGAACGAGGTCATCAAGGATAAATGGATACAAGTATTAGGAAAAAGGGATTCGACACAAACGGAGTATTTTTAATTTGTAAGAGCTTTAAATTTTATTCTGTTGCCTGTAGCAAATATAATTTAATCAATTATCTACTAATGTTAAGATTTTAAAAATTTAAATAAGTAAATAATTTAATCTTTAATAAAAGAGAATTAAATAATTTTGTGTAATTTAGGTGAATACAGAGGTATATTTGTGTGATAAAACTTATAGATTTTCTTATTAAATATTACTAGTTTTAACAAAAGTGAAAGAAAAATTTTATTTTTTTATATAAATATGTTATGTATGTAATAAAAAAAAGTGGATTTAAATTTTTTTTTTAAACATTTGTTTTATGTATTTACTATTTTTGTTTTACCTAAAAAATGTTTTGTTACTTGTAATTTATTATTCTAGTTTGTAATAACATGAAATTTAATTTTGTTATTATTTAAATGAAATAAAATAAATTCTGTATATATTTTCAAACATCCCAAATCACCTAAACATTTCTAATTTGTTCGAAAATATCTAATATAAAATGTATTTTTTAAGAAAAAGTACGATGATCAAATCCCAATAAATCGTATGTATGTATTAGTAAATCGTATATTGCGAAGTCTTATGTAAAGATGTCTGTGACCAGATGATTATACAAATGTGTGTATGCATGTAGTTTGTAGTCATAAATAATATTTATAAGGGGTGCTTAAGTTATATCAAATTTCTTATTTTCACAAGTCCCACAATTCGATTCTTGTATGCACTTTATATATATTGTAAGTACATATATGCTCGCTAATATATCTCGTTAAATCTTACTCCGATTAACATACATATATGCTTAAACCTCTTGTTTTGATAAAATGTCAAGCAATTTGAAATATCATGCTTGAAATCATGCTTTTCTGATATATAAAAATGACATACGATGACAAGTGATCCAAACATGTCATCACAATGAGAAAAAATAAAGATAGTCTCTTTTCTTTAATAAAATATATCATATTATATCTGCATATTGTGTACTTACCAATACATATGTGAATTTACATACATATGCTGCATGATGGAAGTATATTTTGTTAGTGTTGCTGCTTCACTTCCTCTTCATATACATACATATTTTTCTTAATAAATGTTTTTATATTGGCGACGTATTTTTCAAAGGGGGATAAAATGAGGTGCTGTAACTGGATTTTCAAATAGTGGTATTTATATTAATTTGTAGAGTGTTTATATTTAATTCCTAAACCATAACCCTTAAATTATCTCGCGTTTTTGTTTTTCTCTGGTTACATAAAAACGTATACAAGCTTAAAAATTAACTACTAAAGAGAGATGAGAGATGAGCGCCTGAAAAAGTATCTGCCTGCGACTAAAATGTATCATATTATTGTTATAGGTGTCAGCAAATGCACTTACTTTGAATTATAATTACATATTGTACACAATTGTAAATTTGTGTACAATATGTAAATTAATTGTGTTTTAAAAATTAATTGTGTTTAAATAATTAAAATCAACAAATTTTAATTTTCAATACAAAGAATTTTAAACTTACTTAGTTATATTCAAATTGACAGGTTAAAAGATAGCTTTTGTATTCTTTTGCGTTCATATTCTGAGTTTTTTAATTTTTTGGATGTCATTTATGAATACCGTAATTTACCTTTCAGATAGAAAATTAATTCAGAAAAATTCAGATACATATATGGAAGGAACAAGAATAAAAATGGTGCAACGAAAGTTAGAAAGTTCCAGCCATAAAGATCGTAGGCGGATTTTTTGTTAAAATGTAATTACACTACATGTAGTTAGTTTTTTCTTATATTTATTTTTTTGGAATGGCTGAAAATAGAAGGTTTTTTTTTCTTACAAATGAGGATAGTGGCACGCCCTTTTATATTTCATTGTGTGAATCATACATACAAATGTTTATTTTGAGCAAATTTTAAAATACAATTTTTTCATGCATAAGAAACGCATTTCATATTGCTATCCGTAGAAAGTTTAGTTTTAATCATTTTCCGCTTCTAAAAAGAATTTGTATCTAATTTTTAAAAGTTTTATTTTATTTTTTGCTCAATCCCGCATGTTCTTAATATAAGTACTTTAATTGTAATTGGATTAATAAACAATTTAATAAATAGTGATAAAACTTATAAAAGCGCTGAAACTAGGAAATATTGCTATTAGTTACAAAGTCAAAAATTAGAAATATTAGCATTATATCCTCTATAAAGTGTTTACGTGTATACATATATACACACATATGTGCATGTACGTAATTTTGCATATTACATTTACATTTTCGTTTAAGACTCTTAAGGTAATTAACTTGTTTTTCTATAGGTTTTTTACCTATTATAAAGGTTTTATCGACATCACGACTGGTGTTCAATAGAAGAGATATTTCATTACGATCATATCAAATTTCACTTGTCAAATTTTCAGGAGAAAAATGCAAATAAAGTATTTTCTACAATATGCCTCTCAATAAGCCAAAATACAAATATATTTTTAGCGAAACAAGGCCATTTACGAAGTATTAATTTTAAATTTTTTGAGATTTCGTAGATTTTTTGAAATATGAAATAAATTTACAAAAAACATTTTCAAGCTGAACTGCGACTCTTCCACTAGAGCAGCGATGCCCAAACTACGACCCACATTTTTTTTTTCACAAAAATGTTCCGATCAGTTCTTGAGTTTATAATTAAACATGAAAGAAAGACTTTTAGATTTCGACAATATATCAAATGAAATAACACTATTTGAAAATCCTTTTACATTTGATGTCAATGTAGCATTTGCAGATATACAGCTTGAAAAACATTCAATGAAAAAACATTGGTAGAGTTTTATAAAGGACTATTGAAACAAGATTTTCCAAACCTTAGAATTTTTGCATCAAAAATGTCAATTTTTGGCAACTCATACATATGTGAACAAACTTACTCAAAAATGAAAAGTGCAAAAACTTTCATTAAAATTTTCAACGTCAAAAATAGAACCAAACATTACAAAACTGGCATCTACCATGCAAGCACATTCATCGCACCATATTTAATATAAATATATTTTTGATTTAATTTTTTGAATATTTTCATTGATAATAAAATACAATAAATTCCAATTTTTGTATTGTTGGGATTTATACTTTTTAATTTAAAAAAAAATGAATTAAAATAATTATTCAATAAAATACGCTTAATTTATTCCTTTTGTATTATTTTTTTTATATACTTTTTAATTGGATTTTTTTAAAAAAAATATGCCCGCCATATCTTGTAAATTTTATTTTTTGGCCCAAGTAAAAATAAGTTTGGGCATCACTGCACTACAGTAATAATAATACTATATAATATGAAAATTATTAATACAATATTGCAAATATGATTTTCATAATACTCAATGCGCTCTACCATATGCAGATGACGGAAAGTTGTGTGGCATATAAAATAATATTTTAAAAATAAAAGAGTTGATTGGTTTACGATATTTATCTTATTCGAGTTTAACTTGAATATTGAAAATGAACTTTAAAACATTTCAATTTGGTATTATAAATTTTTTCAATACATATATTTATTACTATAAAAGAAAGAGTACGAATCTCCTTTTGAGATAATTAGGGGTATGAATTTGATTCACAATCAAAAAAATTTTTTTTTATTTTATTTCAACAAAAAAAATGTATGCATACAAAATACATAATAAGTAAAAAGAAATGTAAATTTTTTTTTAATTCCGTACTCGAGGATTGATTACAAAATTAGATAAATTTAATTTTATATCAAAGCCGTACCTACAGCTCTTCTTATTTTATTAAAATTGTTTGTATAATAATATTATAAACATATTTAATGTTTTTAATTGTGTCAAAATAATGAAAAAAACAAGAATAGATATAGTTGATCGTATCAATACTCTGAGACACCTATACGAATAAATGATTTTAAATGTCGGAGATAATTGACATACAGTTTCTTACTTCTTGTCTTTTTTATGTTTAGTGATGTTTTACACATATATGGTAGATACCATATAAACCCATGCCATCTAAAAGAGTTTTAAAAAAACTTTTAGAGTTGTATAACAGCTATCACAAGCGCCCATGATATCTCAACAACTTTTAACAAATATAGCTATGACCATATTTGTTTTTACCAAATTTCAGTACTGCAGGTTGAAAAGTTTTTATGATGTAGCCAAATAAATATTGAAGCTATATGGCAGCTACATAAACCAGTAACTCGACCATATCCGTTAGGGTTTTGGCGTTAACTATAATAAATTATTTGTAAAAATTTGTTGAGCTTTACTCAATTAGTCTTTGAGTTATCGTTGCAGCAGTCAGACGAACAGGCATAATTAAATCTCAGAACGCGATGCTGATCGAAAACCTGTATTTGAGTCTATATCTTAGACCATTATTTCGTAGCGTTACATATCGTATGACAAGTTTAGTATACCCTTTGAACATACGTTCGTACGGGTATAAAGAATAAAACAATTTTTTTTGTGATACAATTTACGAAAATGGTATTTAATAACGAGTTTTTAACAAAAAAATAGCTAGGTATGTATTTTTTCTTTCTTTGATGTGGTTATTGTTTTGTTAAAATAACTATTGGCAATTCATAATATGGTTTTAAAATAATAAGATTTGATTTCGAAAAAGGATCGATGAAGATTAATTTAATTTGCTTTTGAAAACGGAAAATGTACATATACCTGTTTAATACTTACATAAACTGAATATCCTTTATTGTTTTCATTATTTTTTAAATATATTAGATTAATAACTAATTTCATTTACTTTATGGTTTTGATATAATTTGAAAGAGACAATCAATTTTTTAAAAGTTTTTAAATGTAATAAGTTTTTAAATCGCATTTACAAATTTAATTTGACTGCAAAATTTTTTTTTGGCATTAGAAGAAAATATTAATTTTTTTAAGAATTTAATTCTTTTAATTTAATTTAAAATATTCTGCGCTCAACTTAAAGTTAATCAAACTGAGTTACTCAGCAAGGTCTAACTTCACAAACTTTAAATTTTAGTCAAAATATGTGACTTTGCTGTTTTGCTACTTCAAGAACGAAAATGTAGATTTTTGGGTTTTGGAAATGCAGAGTAAAAAGCTATTGTTTAACAGAAAAGTAGTGAACAATGAATACATTTTTTTTACTCTAGAACAGGCCTGTCAAACTCAAATGGATGTTGGGGCCAATTTTTAAGTTAGGTAAGAACTATGGGCCGCAAAAAAGTTAAAAAAAAATAAGGTAATAAAATGTCAATAAAAAAGTAATAAAAAGACTTATGTAGAATTTAATTCATTTAAATCATAATTTTATTTTAACTAAATTATCAATATCTGGTTAGATGTTTTGGGCAGTTAAAACTTTTAATACTGAAATCAAATGTTCATCTGTTAAACTGCTTCTTTTTTCATTTTTGTTATTATTCATTATTGAAAATAATTGTTCACATAAATATGTACTACAAAAATGAGTTAAAATTTTATAAACAAACATTTTTAAATTTGTAAATTTTTTAGGTAAAACTTTATACAATTCTGAAATACCTATTTCGTTATATTTTCCTTTAAGAACCATGCTGCATTGCAATTCAATCAATTCCATTTGCAAATTTGGATCAGCTTTTTCAACATTATATGAAAATAGTGCCATGAATAACTCGAAGTCTTCAGCAAATGATTGAAAATCTAAAAATCGGTATTGAAACTCAGTTTTCAATCCTGATATATATTTGGCATTTTTTTTAATCAATATTCTGATGTTTATCTTGGTATTTTTTAGTTCTGCAAAATGTGTAGTGATATTTTCTTTCAACTGCGTTTCAGATAAAATTAGTTTCGATTGAAGACAACGGATATAATCATACATATCAGTAATTATTTGGTTTTTCCTTGCAGCTTTAAATGTAATTCAGCAAGATGTTCCGTAATATCAGTAAGAAAAAATAGATCCATGTGCCACGCCTCTGTTTTAATTATTGAAACATCTTCCATTTTCATTTCTAAAAATAAAACTATTTCCCCCTTTGATTCAACGAATCTTTTTAAAACTTTTTGGCATGACAACCATCTTACTTTCGTGTAATAGGGTAATGTTTGATAATGATAACCTAACTCAGCCAAAAGACTTGAAAAAAGGCGAGTATTCAGTGCTCGAAATCGGATGAAATTAACTATATGTGCCACATTTTTAAGGGCATGGTCCGTTTTAATAATATTTGCACATAGGACTTCTTGGTGAATTATACAATGAAAATATTTTAAAATTGAATGCGATGATTTCTTATTTTGCAAAAGAGTTACAACACCATTTGTTTTTCCAATCATAACAGGTGCACCATCCGTTTTTATTGAAAGAAATTTTTCCAAACTTAAATTATATTTTGCAAAAGTTGCCATATTGCACTCTACAATATCTTTCGCCGTTGTAAAACCTTTCATTAGAACTAAATCCAAAAATTCTTCGGTAACTGTCAAATTGTTATCAACCCCTTCGAATATCTCTGTTCCATTTGACACAAAGAGAAAAAGCAATTATAAAAATTATATTACGAAATGAGATGGTGGAAGAATTTGAAAAATTCGATGCAATGGAAAAAAGGAAAAAACCAGTGGAAAAGAAATATAGTTAGGGCCGTAAACCTTAACCATTTAAAATTGTCGATTGGGCCGTAAATTTTACTTACTAGACCGCATGCGGCCCAGGTTTGACAGGTATGCTCTAGAACATGTGAGTGTTGCGAAAAAGTGAAGTTAGTGTAATTAGCGCAATAGTGAAATAGTGAATTTGACTAAAATGCGCTCTTTCTGAAGTTGGAGAATGCAGTGTAAGAAGGCTCTATAGGGAATCAGATGAATTTTTGATAGTGGCATATGACTGGTAAGTTGATTAATTCATTATTTTATGTACCTTTTGCACGTGTTATTGTGCGCAAGTACGCCTACAAATAAGGATTCCGAAAATTTTTATTCAATAAATAGGGTAGGAAATATTCGCAGTGCCATTAATGAACTAGAGAGTGTAAATAAAATTTACGTCAAAGTATATTTATTTTATAAGTACTTTGAATCTCCGTTTATATCTGACTGAGGCAATCACTCACCAATATTTGATGATATTGTGTGGTGCTAAACCATTTCGAATTTTATTTTATAAGTAGTTTGAATCTCCGTTTATATCTCACTGATGCAATCACTCACCAATATTTGATGATATTGTGTGATGTCAAACCATTTCGAAGGTCATATTTCTACTTTCAAAGTATAAAAATAATTTTTATCTTTATATGACATAAACATACATATATCAGTAATTCTTATAGGCAAACGAGCTGAAGTTAGTTCAGTTATGTGGATAAAATAAATTTAAATGGGATATAATGTATAGCAGTTTCGTGAATAAATTATTTTATTTCGTTTAAATATTAACAAAATTAAATTTTTTGTTCTTACAAACTAGTTACTTGTTACAGGCCAAATTACATTATAATAAATTATAGGCAACAATTTATTTTTAGGTACATATAATTTTTTAATTTTCTTTTATTAGGGATTAAACTACATACTTATTTAAATTTTTAAAATCTTAACAATAGTAGGTAATTGATTAAATTATATTTCCCACTCCAAATTAATAATACTCCGTTGGTGTCGAATCCCTTTTTCTTAATACTTGTATCCATTTATCCCTGATGACCTCGTTCTTTGGCAAAGTATAGATAAGGATAGCATTTTTGTAGCACGTTTTTCCTTTCTCGTACACTATTGCTTCTGCATCCTTCGACGCAACACTTTCGGGGCATTTGTAT